GCCAACACAAAGTAGCCGCCGTTAAATCCTTAATAGCGAGGGCATTCATCCAGATCTCGTATCTGTAAAAGGTTGGCAACCTACTAATTAGATTTTCAGCCCAATTCCTTTTAATAAAGGTTTTCCAGGAAGCAGGAACGCAGCTTCCTTCCATAGCTTCAAGTTGATAAAATTAGAGCCTGTTTGGCGTGACTTGTGAGAGCTTTTATTTTTTGAGTATTGTTATGAGTGATAAATTTAAATTTTTATTGAAGAAAAAATAGAGTTTTAATTTTTAGAAAGGTGAAAAAGTGAGTGAAAAGTAAGTAAAAAGAGAATTTATGAAAAATTTGAATTTGAAGCTTTTGAACTTTTACTGTTTAAGAGTGTAAATTTTTAAGAGAAAAATTTAAATTCATTAAACATAAATAGTATTCAAAAGCTGAAACTCATAGGAGTCACACCAAACAGGCCCTTAACATGGATCTTTTAAGAAGAATATAAATATGATATAATGCACATCCTATTCTTCCATCAAATTCTCCATCAGCTTCATACTCTGTTGTTATTTGCTTTTTGCTCTTTGTTTTGCAAAAAGATTTTGTAATTGCACCAATTCAGAAGTCCTTCTCCAGTCCGCACTTGTATTCCGAGATGACCTGCAAAGCCTCGAGGTGGAACTTGGGGTAGACACTCCGATGCTTGCACTTCGGGATGACCTGCAAAGCCCCGAGGTGGAACTCGGGGTAGACACTCCGATGCTTAAGTCAGCAATAATCGGGGCTACCTTGAAGGCGGAGATAAGAAAAGCTTAAGGTTGGTTTCAATTACCTTTTGACGTGGCCCGGAGGGGGTATTTATAGGATCCAATGAGAGCCCACGTGTCATGCCAAGCAAGATAATCGGAGCATGACGTGTCTATCCAGACGATTATTCCGGGACCGGGAATTTGAGAGATATTCAGATGCACGGGTGTCCACCATACCTGCTGTGCTACTCATCATAAGGAATCCGGTACGGACATGCTTATTGTCATTATCATGCAGCCATTTGAGCGGGAAGTTCTGGATTCATTCCTCACTTCGGTCAAAGAGGAATTACTGTGGCAGTCCGAAGCTTGGCACCTCGGACCTGTCCTTACACTATTCCCCCCCCGAAGTCATTCACTTGTGAATGATGGTATTGGGTATGTTGAGAGGAGTGCAAGTAAAAAGAGGAAATAAAGTCTGTAACTTAAATGTAAACATAACCGTAGCTAATAATGAAATATGTAGCAGTGGGTTACACTGGGAGTGTGTTAAATAGAATATGTCCGGAGTGATCATGGTTGTGGTCGTGCAAAAATAATGACCAGAGTTAATCGTGGCTGTAGCCATAATAAAAGATGATGAGTGGAATCACAATGGCTGGAGCCGTAATAAAATATGATGACTGGAGTCATAATGGCCGGAGCCGTAATAAAACATGATGACCGGAGTCATAATGGCCGGAGCCGTAATAAAACATGATGACCGGAGTCATAATGGCCGGAGCCGTAATAAAACATGATGACCGAAGTCATAATGGCTGGAGCCGTAATAAAACATGATGACCGGAGTCATAATGGCTGGAGCCGAGGTAGAGTATGTGACATGTGGTCACAGTAACCAGGATCAAAGTAAAACATGTCTTTGTGGCCTGAGCCGAAGTAAAACACTATGCCAGTTTAAAAGTGTAATTGTATGAGTAAACAGAAGTGCTGAGCTAGGCTTAAATATACAAATGGGAGTCAAAATGGCCGGAGCCATAATAGAATATAATGATCGGAGTCATAATGGCCGGATCCGTAATAAAATGTGTGATACAGAATCACTGTGGCCGAAGTTGATGTGAAATGTAATGTAGCATTAATATGGCCGGAGCCGAAGTGAAACACTTGACAAAATTAAGAAAAGTAAACAAAGGTGTTGAAATGGGCGTGAGTGGGTCGTCTGGAAAATCTGACAACGTGGTGTGACAGTTGTCCTTGGAATGACGTGTGCAATAAATGCAGCCGTAAAAAGGTAATTGCAACAGTTAAACGGGCAAATTTAAAAACGAACCGTCAAGTTCAAAACGGTACCGTTTGGGGTTGTCCGTTGAATTCCAAACGGTGTTAACAGGGGCCATGAGATTAAACGAATCTCAGCCATTGAGATCTAATTTTGCCCAGAAGTATAAATAGGCATTTTTTCTGCAGAAAAAGGTTTACTTGCATTTCTTTTCCTGCAAAACTTCTGTGAGAAGCTTCATTGTGCATTTTCTGTTCGTGAACTGCCGTAACAACTGGAGATCTCTACATCAAATCTTTCGAAACCAAAATCAGGTAATGTAGACGAAACTCTAATTTTAAGTTAATCGAAGTGTCTTTCTCCTTTCTCCCTTTCTGTGATTGATTTAGAGTCCTCTGGAGGACGTTAGGGTTAGAGATGAGAAGGGTTTTGAATGTGTAATGAAGGGGT